CCGAAAATGGCTGCTCCTATGGAGGGTTTTCGCTTAAGGTTAGTTTTGACGCCCATAGGAACCCATTAATGGCGTTTTAATGCGTTTATATGGGCTTTTTAATTCCGTTTAGCGATGAAATTGCTTAGTAATGTTTTTTCCTGCACGGATTAACATAGCTAAGTGAGGCACCACTGTACAGGGAAAAGATAATAGAAAAAGGACATACAGACACCTTTGCAGCACATTTGGGGATCACATGCACAAAGCAGAGGATAGTGCAAATTTTTACTGGCCTGGGATGGGGAAGCAAGTAAGATCATATTGTCAAAGCTGTGACATATGTCAGAGGCAGGGTACTGGCAATGACCAAACTAAAGCAAAATTGTGCCCTTTACAATTATATCAACCCCATTTCAACGCATAGGCCTGGACATTGTGGGACCATTATCTAAAGTAACTAGAAGAGGAAACAATTTCATTTTAACCATAATAGATTACACCATGAGATATCCAGAAGCCGTTCCATTGCAAAATATAGAGACCAAAACTGTGGCAGATGCCTTGGTGAACTATATGTGTCGCATGGGCTTCGCTTCAGAAATCGTCACTGAGTTAGGAACATCATTCACTTCCAGATTAATAAAAAGGCTAGGGCAACTTTGTGGCATAGCTCACATTACATCATCCCCATACCATCCTCAGACAAATCGACTAATGGAAAAATTTAATGGTACCTAGTGCGAATGATCAGAGCTTATACTGCTGAAAACCCCAATGACTGGGATCACAAGATACAACCCTTATTCTATGCATACCAGTCTGTACACCAGGAAAGCACAGGTTTCAGTCCAATCAACTGGTATTGAGACGGAAAGGGCGGGGACCCTTGGATTTACTCAGACAATATTGGGAGGAACAACAGGGAAAAGACCCTAAGACAGTGATCCAGTACATAGAAAATTTAATGAATTCCTTGCAACAATCTCTGATGTTTGCTGCAGAAAACCTGCATAGACAGCAAGGGAAGCAAAGGTTATGGTAAGAAAAAAAGGCCAGAGAAAGATAATTCAGTCCTGGAGAGGAAGTCCTGATGCTGAGGCCTATAAAAGGGATTGAGGTGCAATTGAACTGGGCAGGTCCTTTTAGAATAAAATCCAAGATGAAGGAAGTAAATTACATAATTCAGGAGGAGGGAGAAGAAGGTCAAAGAGTGGTCCTTGTAAACTTGATCAAGTTTAGAGAATTCACTGTAGCTTACATCAATGATATAGGGGTCTATAGTCAGATCACCTATACCATATTCAGAAAGTGCTACAAAGGTTAAATGAGGCCAGATTAACAGTGAAGGCTAGTAAATGCCAGCTAGGTAACTCCGAGTTAAAATACTTAGGCCATATTACTGGGACAGGCAAAATCAAACCCCTTACATCGAAGATTGAAGTAATCAGTAGCTGGCCTAGACCAACAACAAAGAAAAAAGTCAGATTTTTTTTAGAGTTAGTGGGCTATTATAGGCGCTTTATCCAGAACTTCAGCGAAATAGCTGCCCCTTTATTGGACATAACCCATAAAGGAAAAGCTGACAAGATCCAGTGGTCGAGCGACTGTGAGGAGACCTTCGAGAAGGTAAAAACTGCACTGATGACCAGTCCTGTCCTGAGAGCCTTGGAGTTCCATTGAACTGTGCTGAGCCAGGAGGACAACAACGGGGACTTTCATCCGGTGACGTTCCTGAGCAAGAAGCTGCAGGTGGGCAAGAGACACCTTTTCACTATAGAACATGAGTGTCTGGCGATTGTATAGTCTTTACAGAAGCTCAAACCGTACATATGTAGAAGACATTTTGTTCTCTGCACAGACCAATCCCCACTGTGGTGGTTGCGGACTATCAGAGTGAACAATAATAAGTTGAGGAGGTGGAACCTACTCCTACAAGACTTTGACTTTGAGATCCAGAGTGTTAAAGGGACTCAAAATGTGGTGGTCGATGCCTTGTCAAGAAGAACAGAAGACTGACAAAAAGGCACTGAAATAATATGTAACTTTAATGTTATAAAAACTATTGTAATTAAAAGTTCTAAGTGTATATTAATTGGAAAAATTAATTAAAAATCTAAGTTATATATGAATTAATGGTAAGTAAGGTTTGTATTGTAAGTAATAAAAATGTCGATAAATATAATTTAAAGTAATAATATTAATATGTTCTCGAAGGCTTTCACGGCCGGGATCTGATGGTTGTTGTGGGTTTTTAACATTACTGAAAACCCCACAACAACCATCAATATTAATATGCTTTAAACTGTGTACAGTGGTGCCTCGCATACCGAGGTTAATCCGTTCTGGATTAACCCTTGCTATGTGAAAACATCGCTAAATGGAACATAAAAACCCATTGGAACACATTAAACATCATCTAATGCATTCCAATGGGCCCTAAACTTACCGTTCAGCGAAGTTTCCTCCATAGCGGCAGCCATTTTCAGGCCCTCAGTAAGCGAGGGGAGGGTGCGAAAACGCTGCGTGCGGCCATTTCGGGCGTCCAGTGGCCATTTTAGAACTGTCGAACAGCTGATCCGCGGGCATCGCAAAGCGAAGATCGGTAAGCGGAATGCTTACCGATTGTCGCTATGCGAGTTTTGCCCATTGGAACGATCGGTATGCCTCCGCATTAGCGATCCCGGAAAGGGGATCGCTATGCAGATTCGTCATTGTATGGTGCACTCGTTAAGCGAGGCACCACTGTAATTGAGTGAGTATATATGGCATATGTTTAACTGAGAAATGTTTTTTTAAAAATTATACATATAAGTAAGTTATTACATATGTTGTTCATGAGGCTAACCTACTGTAGATGTTACCCCATGATACAAACTTTCCAAGGGGGGAGGTATGTGGCGGACAGCCCACACGTCACCCCTGTCAGTCATTTTAGAGCTCTAGTGCAAGGGCCTATGACAGGATAGGAGGGGCAGTGTGGTGTTCGCACCTCGCGGCCCTTTCCTGACTCCCCAAACACAGAGCACACGAAGACAAACCAATACTCTTTTTCACACGCTGCCACCAGATGATCACTAAATCAAGGAAGGAAGAAGATGGAGGTCCAAACATCACTGTCTTTTAAATAAAATTATTGATTACAGATGTTTGATAATTAATCATATATAACATTTACAGGTTTATTTATCATCAATATCAACCTTCTATTTGTTATAACAGTTTTTATTTACTCTTCACACTAATGACACCTCAGCTCTCCCAAATACCACACTCTGTCTAACTCTCCACTCTCTTCTCCCTCTGACTGACTCACTCTCTGCCTCTGCCTCTGCTACATATCTCTCAGCTCTGCCTCTCAGCAACATTAGCCTGCAACATGAATATGCATGACTACTTAACATAATAAGGGTGGAATCAACAGAACTGGGTGAGACAGAGAGAGAAGATTGAGAAGTGTTTGGACAAGTAATTGGAAAGTTGCAAATTTCCCCCATAGGGACCATTGCAAAGTGATCGCTTTTGCGATGGCAAAAAGTCCATTGCAAAGCGATTTCATCGCTATATGGAACGATTGCTATGCGAGTCATCACTGTACTAGGAAATACATAGACAGTCAGAATATATTGAGACCTTGATTAAATGAATGAAATCAGATCCACATTTATTGAATGAATAATAATAGAACATCAATGATTTTACTGCTGTGATTTACCTACAAAACCATAAATAAACCTTGTTATATGTGGCAGCAGTAGTCTGTGATTCATAATTGGTACAGTGAGGGTAACACTCTCTGATGACAGCGAAAAAAGGTAAAAAGAACAAGTCATGACTGAAGGTGGACCTGTGAGTGGGAAAGCAAACAGGACACTGGGAGTGAGCAACATCCGTATTATTACTTACAATAGCTTGGCCTAATTTTTGCCAAGGTGTGGTGACGCACTACACAAACCTGCATTTTACAGATAACTGTGTTATTTCCACCTTAATATATGGAGGAAGTAATAGATCTAAGAAGGCCATCGGGAACACAGAGAGACAGAAAAAGTAAAAGGGGAAAAACTATCTAAACTGGCTCACATCTACTGTAGCATTTTCCTAGACAAAGGTTTTTGTTGTTCCTGCTTCTGGTTTGCATAGGTAACTTGTGCATTTATTGAACATAATCCAAACTCATTGATGTTTCAGTTCCTGAAAAACTGCAATTTCAATTCATCTCAGCCACATTATTATGTTAACTCAGAGGTATCTAGCTTGGGTATTGTACTGTAAGATCACCCAGTCTTCACTACTCTACATCTGTGGTGGACGGTGGCAAATAGATACAAGGTCAATACCGACACCCCCCCCCTAATCTGAGCAGCTCATCACCCCCATGTTATTCCTTTTTATAAGGCCAAAGCCACTCTACCATAGCTCACTTTGCCGCCAGTGGTTTACACTAAAAATATGTTTGCTTGTAGAGGAACACTGAGTTGGACCTGGGGGTGGGGTTCAAATCTCAGTTTAATCAGGAAGCTCCTTGGTCTCTCTCTTTCAATCTCTCTCTCTGCTCAATTTATTTCACAGGGTAGACATTACCCAGGCAGCCCTAGCTTGGTAAAAGTAGAGGGCAAAACATAATGAGGGGCGGAACTTCCAAGAGAAAACGATGATGTACTATGTATGATGTACCAAAGAGAAATTAATAATGTACTATGGTGGGTTTGCGCTGAGGATAAGATAGCTCGTTGTACTTGTGTTTAACACCTAGCTAGCTTCTTTCCTTCCTTCCTTCCTTCTGAGAGATTCCTCTGCTTTATAACTGGGGTCCTGAGGGGACGAAAGGCAGGTCTTGCCCCTGGTGTCATGGCGGAGAGGGAGGGAAAGAGGAGAGTGAGCGCGCGTGCGCGGGCCTCCTCTGCCTCTGCTGTCATGGCGCCCGTCGCCGGTGAGGTAAACACAATGTGCCGGATGGAGGAAAGGCGGTGCGACGGGCGACGGGGCTGGGGAAGGGGCGGAGAGAAGAGAAGGGGAAGGAGGAGGAGGAGGCGGGACCGGCGGCGACGGGCTTGGAGGGTTTCGTGCGGCGGGGGCTGCTGGCTGGCCTCCGCCCTCGGTACAATGGAGCGAGGGCAGTAAGAGGGCGAGGGGCGAGCCGTTGGCGAGGACGGGGCAGCGAAGACGGCGCGGGCGGCGGGCGGCTCTATATCGGTTACCGAGTAAGTTTACCTTCGCCCGCTTCCTCTTTTCTTCCTCCTCCTCCTCCTCCTCCTCGGGTGGGATGAAGGGAGACCCCCCGCTGACGTCTCCTCCTCCTGCTCGTAGCTTTCTCCCGCCCGCCCGCCTGCCTGCCTTGGTTCTTGCGGGGGGAAAAGGTGATCAGAGGTGAACCCTGCGAGGTGTCCCTCCGGCCCCGGCCGCAGAGGAGCGGAAGGAGGTTCACTGGGCTCCCTAGGCCTCAAAAGTACCCTGGCAGGGCCCTGCCCTTCGCAGTGCTGGGCGGCGTGACCAGGAGCCGCCTCTGAAGGGAGAAGGGGATTCCCCCCCCTCCGACACCCTTCTCCTCTTCCCTCCCCCCCAGGCGCCCCATCCCTGGCCAGGCCCTTCGGGTTTTTCCACGGCTTGGGACTTCAGCCGGTCTCCTACCCCTCCCCTCCCCACCTTACTCACTCTTTGCAAGCATCCTGACATTAGGAGCAGGTGCCGGGGTTCGAGGTGGTGGTGGTGGTTCGTTTCTGCCTTCTCCGGATAAGGTACACAACAGTTTATGTACAGTATCTCTGTTTGGACAGCTGCCTAGGTTGGGAGATAGACTTGCTTCAACAGAAGTCTTTCCCCCGCCATATATATAAGGCAAAATAAAAGGGCCAAAATAATTGAAATGCAATTAAAAATATATACTCTATATTTATAAATGTATATAGCTAAATATATATTATCGCTCCTGTGGAAAAGATTTCTGTGCTAAAGTCCTCCCGCGCAGTACTATAGAGCTTTTGATGAATGTGGTTCAACTTGTAAATACACTGGCTGTGTACTTCATGAGTATATAACGAAATGCAGGCATATATGATGAAGTACATTACTGGGTTTGAATAGGGTCAGAGTGAAGGATGGCTTTGCCAGTGTTAGCCACCCAGGTACCATAATTTCTGTTAATTTGTCTTGCTTGAAACTATTGTGTAAACAACACGTGAAACTTTTAAAAAAATGACTGCTTTTTTTCCTGATGGATTCTAAGTGAGGACAGGACAGGAGCATGGACTTTTTAAAATGAATGTTGCCAAACTAGCCTGAATAATGGAGAGTTTTGTGGTACTTAAAAGATGAACATATGTATTGTGGCGTCTGTAGGTTGAAATCCATTTCTCACATCTCATGAATACTAGTCCATAGAAATTTACACCATAATAGATTTGTTATCCTAAATTGCAGGGGTGGGGTTGTTTCATCCTGTCACAGTCATTGGGAAAGGAGGCTCTCCATCATAAAACTATTAATTCTGAGGGACATTTTATGTGGTTGTCAAATTCTCTCTGGCTTTGCACCCTACTACTTCCTAATACCTGTGAATCACTTCTTCACTGGACAGCCTGATGGTATTAACTCAAAATATTTAATGGTTTACCAGTGCAATGTTATCCATATTTACAGGTTCAGTGGAGCTTTATTTTCTGATTTAGGATTGCAGCCTTTGGGTGCCAAGCATCTTCGTCTTAATATTTGTGCTACAAGAGCTAGCAAAAAGTGCTTAACATGAAGGAGCTTGCATAAAAATTAAATGCATGTTTGGCCAGGGTTAATTAGTTCTTTTCCAGAGAAATTAAATAGTGTTCAAAAGTTATTTCTCCAGATTAAAATGAGATAAAATCTTGCTTTTTATTAAGGATGTTACACTAGCATTGCTTGAGCAATTAGTACTCTCTGCTCTTTGGATGAGTTTTCCTGGTACCCTCAAATATTTTTGGATTTAAATATGATGGTACCTTAACATCGTACATATTGCTTGGGTCTCGTAAGAATTGCAGTCCAAAACATCAAGACAACATCATATTGGTTAAGATTATGTTTCTATCTATATATATGTATCCGTATTTCATACACTGAGTTATTTCATGAATCACTATTTCTGTTCAGTCCCTTAAAAGAGTTAAAAGACTGGACAGCTGATTCATTTTTTTTGTCTGGTCTTCACTTGCTTTCTGTTTCCTCTATTAGTTAACCTTTCAGTTTTACACTGTGTGCACTTTGAAACAAGGATCTAGATGCAACATTTAGTGGTTATTTCTGTAATCTTGTAAGACTGAGTGATGGTAAATTACTCCTATTCAATGTATCTAGTCTGAGTTAATGAAGTTTAAAAGTGATGCTCTCCATTCCACTCCTCCACCCAGGCCTCTGTTATTAGAAGAGTCAATTCAAGAGGTAGAGCCTGTAATTTAAGTACAAAGTTGCCTCTCCAGTTCCTTGTTTATTAATTTAGTTCCAAAGATTAATGGAGTATTGGTGTTGAGTATTGCATATGTTGTTGAAATGATATTGCTTGTAGGATGCTGATTGTGTATAGATATACACACCTTTCCAGTTGGGTCTCAAAGGTAGTAAACTTTCTAGAGCATGTGCTCTGCCCGGATCATACCAGTATAATTATCTTGAAAGGTCAGAATATTGGTCAGTTATTTTATTAAGTCATAAACGTTATGCTAAAAAAGATTTCTTATGTATATTTGTTTTGCCAAAGAGAAAAAATATTTTTGTTCACTAATAAAAACTTGGATAGAGAAGTAGTGACTTGCCTGAAGCATTGCAGCAAGCTTCCTCACTGTGGAAGTGTCATATCTTTAAAATTAGCACTGCTCTCTCCATGGTACCTTTCCACCCCTATTGAGAAAACTGCTTTCTTTCCCTCATCCCATAGGAAATATTGAACAGCTGTTATGATGGGAGATGCTGCAAAACATTGCTTTGCCAGACATAATAAAGAACGAGGAATTTTAAATGAGGAAGATTTTCAGAAGCACGCTTTACGTCATGATCATCAAGTGATGGATGATTATGGAAATGGACATAGCAACAAGATGGACACAGGACTTGAGAAAAGAAAGGGTGCCCTGGGTTATTACGGAACGAGTCCCAGAAAGGGAGCACATGGTGCTTTGAGTAATCCACTTTCACCTAAAAACAGTGTTTACAATCAAGGGATAAGGCTAAATAATGCCTCAAAAGACCAAATAAAGAAGTGGGTATCTGACAACCATCATGCTAATTCTGACACCTGGAGAGAGTACAGATCTGCAGTCCGCATTCCGGTCAGGCCACGGAAAGACACTTCTCATGAGTGCGAGAGCACAGGAAACAGAAACACAAGAAGGCAGCTCCAGAAAGATCTGACCAGCGAAGATGTATCAGATAGGAAAGGAAACTCCGGTAATATACACAATGTGAAATAATTTTCTGTCAAGTTGAAATGTTTTCATGACCTTTTGGGTGTCTGCAGCCTTAAGACTTATTTTCAGGGATCTTCTAATCCAGAAAGGTACTTAGTATACCGTCCTACCCCATTTCAAGCAGTATTGTTATTACAGTACTTTATGGCAGAGAATTAAAACTACCAAACAAGGGTTGAGTTAATTGGTTATACCTCAATTCTGTCTTCTGCTTGTAGGCGTTTTAGTAAAAACAGAGTTTCTGTTGCAGCAATTAGGGTAGTATCCTTGGATGAAAGCAAAGCAAAGCAAAAGCAAAGCACTCTCTGGGCGGTTTACAAGTTAATTATGCAAGCTACACATTGCCCCCCCCAGCGAGCTGGGTACTCATTTTACCGACCTCTGAAGGATAGAAGGCTGAGTCAACCTTGAGCCGCTACTTGGGATTGAACCCCAGGTGGTGAGCACAGTTTTGGCTGCAGTACAGCAGTTTTAACCACTGCGCCACACATCTTTCCCCCCACATCTCAGTGAAACTTCCCAGCCAGTGTTGGAAAAATGCATCAAATTCATAAGCACCAGTCTCAGTTTTTAGGAATAACATCAGCCTTGTAGGCCACGATCTATACACAGCATTATGGAAAAAAAAATCAAATGCCTGCATCAAAATTCTAGGGGCATAGTTTGGTGCAAAGTCCTGTTGCATATTTTATGGGTTAAACTATCTTTTATTCATCATTTAAAGCAAAACAAACTTCAATTCTGTGAGTTCTTATGAATGTTTGACCTAATTAAATTTCCAATATATTGAGGATGCACAGTAGAGTTAAGGTTGAAAGTTAGACTTTGGGTTAAATTAGTTTGTCTCATATTCTCTGATCCCACAGGTAATACCAGCCAACACAGACACAAAGGCACACCTCATGGGGCCAGCCTAAAAACAACCAGAGTACCTGTATGTCATTTCTGGTTCCCAGGTTCATGGGTTTGGTAAAAAGTGATATGGAATAATTAACCCTCATACACAAGACAGAAAAACTTACATTGAGTGAATTATAGAGTTTTATCTGATTATATTGAAGTTCCAGAGTACTTAGGGTTAACAGTAGGGTTTGAGTTAAATTTGCACATTTTGCATTTCCTGAACTCACTGAGTATTCCAGTCCTCCTCCTGTTGGACCTCCTGTACTGCATGAACCATTTTTGTCCCAATATATTACATTAGCTACAACAAAAAAGTACTCCAGTAGCAAAAAGCAATTGGCTTGCTGAGATAATTTTTGTCACAGCTGTTTTTATTTCCTTTAGAAGAAAACCCACATAATTTTTAAATGCCCAATGGCTGAAACTCAAGGATGTTGTTTCCAGCTTTACAGATGACAGTGTTCTATAATCTCTACCTTGTAGTTCTAATTCTATATGAATTCTGCAACAAAACATGACTCTAGTAGGACTAGGGGAGCAATTAGAATTATCCTGGCCTGGATTGGTTTTGATCATGCTTAACAGAATCACTTCAAGGTGTGGTATGTAATTTGGGGCCTTCCTTGCATCCACAGGTAAGGATCGGCTGCACCAAAAGTGACCTTGTTAATCACAATTAGAGATGGGGGTATTCGTATACAAATACAAATATCCTCTCACAAGTGCAGATAATGAGAGTCTGGCCAGACTGATCACTCACCATTCCACTGCTGCTGCGGGCTCGACACTCCCTTCCTGTTGCTTCGGAACTTGCGGTGGATTAGCTACTGTTCGACCTGGCAGAGAGGCTCCTCATCCCATCTTCTGCCAGGAGTGGCTAATCCACCATGAGGAGAAAGGCAGCATATAAATATATGTTTTTAATGAATGAATGAAACCACACACAGGAATTGAACTAAATTGGATCAGTTCTACCTACACCAAAAAAACAAAAACAGAATAAAGCACTATAGCACCTAACAGCTATTCAGAAAGATACAGGTAGGCATTGATCAGGATGGGCTCGTTTGCGATGGCACAAATGTCATGTCATCAGAAAAAGAAGCAATCTAGCCCATCCCCAATCTGAACCAAACCATGAGACAAATGCCTGTCTGACTGCACCCTTCAGGTGCCTTGTATGGACATGCTTGGCATAATGCTGTCTTCTGTTCGGAGAAACAAATATTAAGGCTTAACAGTCTTTGAGGCAACTGAAAAGAACAGTATTAAAAATAAAATTGAAGGGAGAGGTCTACGTTTATTGGTTCTATTGGCATGATAGTTATTTCAATGTAGCCACATTTTTATCATGGCCATAACCTTAATAAACAATTTTAAAAACATTCTTAACAAGTGTTTTAGAAGATGAAAGCATACACATACTCATAATGTTAGTTATAATCCTATGCACATTTGTTAGAGGATAAATTCCCTTAGAAATATTGAGTAAATGCCTATGTTATGGTGTATCATGTTTATTTATATTCTGAGGCCCTTTTCTGTGCTAAACTTTTCCTATTTGTGTTGTGACTGGAGTTTTTGCACCATACCATTAAGCTTCTACTTGATGATTAAATACTTTATCACTTGGGTTTTCATTAATACATTGAGGTCATCACATTTGTGAATGTGTTTAATATGTAAGGAATTAGAGATTCTGACATAATACAAACCTTTTCTGATAACTGTTAAAAAGAAATGAAGAAACATAGGAAACCAAGGAGATCAAGAAGGATGAGAAAAGAAGAGAATGATGAAGATGATGAACTGGATGGACCAGTTATAGATGAATCTTTACTGACTGCAAAAGAATTACTAGGACTGCAACAAGCGGAGGAACGGCTTAAGCGAGACTATATTTACAGGCTGAGGAAGGTAGCTATTTGCACCATGTTGATTATTTTCATTTGTGAATATATGAATTGAATCTGGATAACACTTGTTACAAATATCTTACTGAAAGACAACAAAAATGAAGGATTTGGGAAAGCATAATACAGTAGAACTGTTCAGCAGAATATCACTTTTAAACATTGTTACAAAGAGGGTAACAATTGGAACATTGTTACAAAGAGAAGGATTCTAATAAGCATCTGTAGTCTGCTATTTGACTTAAACAATCTAGCATCAGAAATAATTAATAATAATGTGCCATGAAGTCAATTCTGACCTATGGCAACTTTTTTCATGGTTTTCTGGAAAGAGTACGCTCAGAAATGGTTTGCCATTCCCTTCTTCTTGGGGCATCCTGGCAATTGAGGCCACACAGGCCAGCTTTTCTGGGATGAGCAGTAGGGATTTGAACCCAGCCTCTTGCTCTGCAGCCAGATATCTAACTCGCTGTGCTCTCCAGTCAGTTTGCATCAGATATAGTAGATTAAAATCTGAGGTCTGTTCTTTTAAACTAGGCATAATCATCAACAAACATAAAATCTAATGAGGAAAAGTGTTAATTGAAATGTTATACTTAATTCCTCACCTTCATTTTTAATAGAATGTGTTTGAATACATGTAACCATGTACACTCGTATTGCTTATCTCCCATTCTCCTGTGTCACTTTTTTCCAGCTTGAAGTGTTGGACAGTAGCAGGTTGAAGATGAGTGTCTGGTCTGTTAGAAAGAGCTAATGGGGAAGAAGTGTAGAAATGTGGTGCCAGATAAGCTTTATTTGTAGTAGTAGTGTTGAAATTAATTTATTCAGGACAGTAAGACAACACCATTGCAGTATTAAGCAAAGGCATTGTATACATGGCTAAAGAATTTTTGCTTGTTATGCTTAACTGCAGACTGGCCAGCCACTTCTACCACAAGCTGGGACAGCTAAAAAAGACAGCGACTTTTGGTCTGTGGTTTGTTTATCATTTATCATAGTACCCAGACCTTATTTCCTTAGTTTGCCAGGAAAGATACAGGCCAGACAATCACTTCTGCTCTGTGTGGATGTCACTGATCTTCCACCCAGTAAACTATGGGTGGAAGATCAGTGGTTTGCTCCTACTGTTAATGAGAAGAGCTAAACTATGAGGCAATATGTGTCATTATGTTGCTGATTAGCAGTAACCTAGGAGATGCCTAGAATTTCAGCCTATTGTAGTTCGCAGAGTCACTATATAGTGCAAGTATAGCCAGTTAGATGTTAAAAAATATTAATATAGTTTTACAAAAACATAGTGCCTATCTAGGCATATTGGGGAGAAAAACAGATTTTCAACAAGTGGGATCTGCTGCAAGATCTACTCTCCATAGAAGATGTTTTCCTCATCCTTGAGGCAGAGGAACTTATGGTCCTTCGGGTATTCATGAGCTACTACTCGCAGTATCTCTTACCACTGATAAGCTGGGATGATGGGAACTGGAGAATCAGAAACATCCAGAGGACCACACGTTCCTCAGCAACCCTGCTCTTAATGGCTTCAGTCAGCCATGCTCTATTCCAGTATACTAGATGCTTTTAAGGAATCAGGATGATGCAGGCCACATCATCACCTCCGCTACCTGTTTTTCCATTTTTGTTTTTGTGAATGATTGGTCCTCATTGTGCTGTCACTTTGTTATTGATCTTCCCCTTTTTATTACAGATTTGCAAATTTCTGAATCTGAAGAGAATCATCCATAATCTGTGCCATATTTTGAAATGATCTTAATTTGCTATCAAAAGAATAGCCAGTTGACCTCTTGAGTTTACTGTTACTATATGCAAGTTGGGTCTGTAAAAAAATGTTGCACTATTTCCACATTCCCAACAATGCTCTCTTTCAGGGTTGAGCCAGTCAGCTCTTGTTTTTTTCCAGGATACTACTATGATGCCAGTTCCCTTTTGCCATTTGCTATTGGCCTTGCTTTTGAAGCTGACAGTTGATATTCTATGGCTCCTGTTGTGCCCAAGAAATGCTAAGTCTTCAGATTGTTTTTCATGATGGGGAGTAATTAGTCCCTGAAATGGGTGGGGAGGCTTAAAAGATTGTCTTTGACAACGTTGCAGCTGCAGACCTTTCACTGACCATGATAATGCCTCACTCTTGTTTCTGAGTGGCTCTGCCTTGATTCCATTTCTTTTGGTAAGGAAGCACTGAGTTGTTATTGGAGAGAATAGTATGAGGTATTCTGTTGTAAAGCATGTACATGCTCTAAATCAGCCACCACCAGCCTGATGTCTTCCAGATGTGCTGCGCTGCAACACGCATCACCTTATAGCCATCCTGTCTGGGCATGCTGGGAGCTGTAGTCCAACACACCTGGAAAACACCTTTTCAGGGTACATCATAGTGTTCTACTTAGTAGGCCTAAAATACATAGGAATAGGAAGTACATATCTCTGCTAGTTAGTAGGCACTTTAAGCAGGGCAAGTCCACAGAGTTAGTCTCAAGGCAAAAAGTCTGACCACCCATCTGCTTAAATTTTAATGGGTAATCGTTGTCATCTTAGAACTGCAGAGCTGGAAGGTGCCCTACAGATAATCAAGTTAAGGAGGCACAATGAGGAATCAAACTCCCAGCCTCTGGCTCGGCAGCCAGATGCCTAAACCACTGAGCTACCCAGCAGTTATTTTCAAAGTTCTGAGTCTAACTCAGCATACATTTTTAGGGGAAACAGGAATGTGAAGTGCCTAAGTCATTTTGTTTACATTTTGTTTACAATTCTCATTGTCAGCACAGATTATGGAAAGGGAATGGCTGAAATGCTCAAATAAATCAAATGCAAGAATATGTAAAAATCATTTCAATTCAGGACCAAAGGACAACATTCTTTTAAAGGTGCACTCTTTAATTGTGGACAGCTTCTATGATCAAAATAGCTGCTCACTTTAATACATGGCAGAGACATATTTCATTATGCTTATGACACCTGCCCAGCAAAGAAGTCAAGCCATTGAAGTCAGTTGGAAAAAGGATTCTGATCAACTTGGGTTATGTTACTAGATGGCCCCCTTTTTTGTATTACTTTAATTTAATATACTGCTTCCATTAGTGGAACAGCACTACTCTTTATGTTTTTGTTTTTATTCTTGTTGTTTTGGTAGGGTTGAACTAGTTGTCCATGTCTTCTAATGACACAAGATAGTTAGCTAAATGCATATCTTGGCTTTGAATTCAGGTTGACTGTTTTTTTCTACCACCACCGCAAAAAGTCCTGAAACAATAACTTTTAATGCATTGTTATTTCCTTAGCGACCTCGAAGCTACCCAACAGCAAAGTATACTTGCAGATTATGCGATGCTTTGATTGAGTCAGTGGCATTTGCTCATAAGCATATAAAAGAAAAAAGACACAAGAAAAACATAAAGGTAAGTTTATAAGTAATTTTTTTCTTGTAAATCTCTGTCTTCTAACTAGAGAGATCTCTGTGTATCATGTGCTGCAGCATCATAGATGATCAGCCTCCATGTCTCCCACCCACCTGCCCCACCTTCCTGTCGTTCCAGGGCAGGTTATTCTGTGCTGATGTTTCAGAATTGAAATTTAGTAGCCATGATCTTTTGCATTTACTCCCCACTATACCCTTTCACCACTATCTTGAAACCTGTGACTAAAAGCACTCGTTGCTCTTTTTATTCAAATTATGGCATGCCCACAAAAGAAATGGGAGGAGTTAGGGAGGCATCTCAGCCTTTTGGCTAAGATCAAATGTATAAACTGCTATGAACATCAATGGTACAAATTTTGGTGGTAGTAGGAAATAATATGCTTTTTTTTACTTTGTAGAAAAGGGTTTTTTGTCAATATTTATATTTAATTGTGATATTTTAGCTAGTGAGAAGGCATACCTCTTGCAATACTCTTTAAGGGATATAAGGATGTTTTGATGTTGTAATTTTTGATGAAATATATTTCAATGGGTTATTAAAATGGTTCTGTGAAAATACATTTACATTTTCTTGCATATTTATTTCGAAAGGAAAAGCAAGAACAACAACTGCTGACTGCTCTACCTCCACCAACACCTTTGCAAATTGAAGCTATTGGGGTTGCCATTGATAAAGTAGTGCAGGAACATGGTTTAAATAATGAAGATTTGGAACAAAGGGTTGGAATTAAAACTGCCATGGAAAATGTACTGCATCAGAAATTGCCAGGTAATAAGTTTGTAGGTTATACAATTCCATCCTAATAGACTGCAATAAGTTATGGTTCACTCTGCATTTTTGCAGTATCTCAGTTACCTAGTACAAATTGAGGCCATGAAACTGTAAGGTAGATGAGCCATTAGAGAAGCCAACATGACACCTGAGAATAATCATACGTCAAGGATCACTCAATCATGTTTCAGTATTCATGTCCCTTATGGTATTGATGGAACATAGGCTAACTGTTGAGGCATTTGGAGAGCAAGATCTCTTGTGGCTCTTGGACCATCTCCAGTTAGTTTGGAGAAGAAATGGATTTTCTTTTTCCTCTTCCACAATTTGAGATAAAGTCTCACTTTTCCTTTACCCTAGATTGTTCTCTAAGGCTATATGGCTCTTCCTGTAGCAGATTTGGTTTCAAAAACTCTGATGTAAATCTAGACATTCAGTTTCCAACTAATGTAAGTATGACTGGTTTTCTTTTATTAGAAACTATTGAATAAATTGAAGTCCTAGGAGTTTCACAATTCTGAATTTAGCAGTTTCATAGGAAGATGCACATCAGGGAGATTTACAAAGCAAAGCAGATTTAAAATGTTAGTTCTATTTTTAGCAAAAATGTGCTTAAATTTTTAAGTAACAGTAGGTTTCAACTAAAATCTTAAGGAGATTTCTCCTTTTTAATGTGGTTATTAGAAAAATAATAATATTATACAGTGGCTTATATTGGTGTAATAGAGGCCTTGGGTAGTTATGAAATTGTAAGTTAAACCAAATTGTAAGTTAAACCAAAGCCTATATGTTTAACTTAGAATTGCACAAGAATCTTGTCTAAAATGTTAATTAAAAAATAAGTCTACAGGTTAAATTCTATGAAGTTTATTATCAAAATATATTTCTTTAAAGTATAAAGTATATTATCTATGAAGATTCTATAGTTTTTGTTTGGTGTTCTTCACAGATGTCACAGCCAGATGTTCTTTTACTCGTACAAGAAAGTCTGAAGAATAGTGGTAAGGCACAATTGTTTGGATTGAAACTTAGACCTTTTTCACTCGTAAAAATTAAGATCATTTTTTTTCTTCAAGATAATGTGCAACAATCTGTTGAGATCTGGTATTTCACTCTTCAGTATGTTTAAGATAGTAGACACAAATCTGCGGTTACAGTTTCTTTCAGAACCCTGAATAGGGCATTTGGACTAAAGAATATAAAGAATTAAATTAAGCTAATGCGATCTTGAATATGCATCCACAAAGCCTGAAAAGACGAGGATAACACCTAGTCCCTTGGCCTTAGGGCAGGATGGCATATCATTTTCTCAAATCGTAGTTCCTGCATTTTCTTACACCTGTCTAACCTAAACATGTGGATTACAGAAGCTATAAAGTGTCAAGTATGCCCAATCTGAGTGCAGCTAATTCACACATTTTCTTGTTAATAGAAACATAGCATTGACTTCCAACCCTTTACTTGCCAAGCTTTTCTGCAAACCTAGCCACTGATTTCTGTTATTGCCACTGATTTGTGTCAGGTGCACCTAGCTTCATATCTTGATTTATTGGCTTCATGCAAATATAAAACAGTTGGTTGGCTGTTCTTTTTTAAGATTTTCAGGATTAATGGGATATGATTCTAGAAGGAAAAAAGTGATATGCATAAATGGAATGGAAACTTAACTGCTCATATAATAGTAAATGTATTCTAGATTTTACTCTGACAGAAAAATGTCTATTAATATTTACCTATATATGCCATGAAAATGAAATGTATTTCCATTATAAATAATGGCTGAACAAATGTAATTTTTTTTACCACTCCTGAACCTGTGGTTGATTAGCTGCTGAAGATCATGCAGTAGGACTCCCATATCCAAGCCCCCCCATGGATACCGAAAAGTGTGGATAATGGCAAACACTATACAGTGGTGCCCCGCAAGACGGGCGCTCCATTTGACGACGACGTTCCCTATGGGGGAATTTCGCTTTGCGATGATCGTTTCCCTGCTTCGGGAACTGATCATCCCAAAGCGATGATTTTTTAACAGCTGATTGGCGGTTTCAGAATGGCTGCCGGGTAAACAAAATGGCCGCCCACTGTGTTTTAGCATGCATTCCTCGCTGCACAGGCAGCGAAAATGGCCACTCTATGGAGGATCTTCACTGGACGGTGAGGTTGAAGCCCCTAGGAAAGCATTAATCTGGTTTTAATGCATTTCTATGGGCTTTTAAAAATCACATCACGACGTTTTCGTTCTACAGCAATTTCGCTGGAACGAATTAACGTTGTGATGCGAGGCCCCACTGTATTATATAATCACATGGTAAAAGGAAAAAAAAACAGAAAAAATTATTTTCACAAGCATTACCAGAAGTAGCTGCTAGAGGGTGCCAGAGAACATGCTATGTATTCGTCACTAACAAGCATTCACAGCACAGTCTCTGGCTCTCTCTAGTGGCAGCGTTTGGCAATACATGTAAAATAGTGGAGTTTTTTGGAATTTTTTTTCTTTTAATATTTTAAATATTTTCAGACCATGGATAAGTGAATTAGTAGGTACTGATCCTGTGGATAAGGGGATCCGAGTGGGTTGTAGCTTCAAATACTTATTCTGTGGATTAGAGAGCTGTTCCACGTGTGCCCTGGCTTCCTTTGCCTTGCCTCCTGCAATGTGCACCTGCTCAGAGACAGTGGCAGAACTTCCTAGCCCAGCCTCTTCCGGGCTCTGCATTCAAGTGGGCACCTGCTAGAGGAGGCAGGGCAAAGGAAGCTGGGGCACCCATGAAACAGCTGTGCAGCCAAACTGCCGAACCATAGTCCATGCCCATCTCGACTGTGGTGTATTTACCACAACTGTCAAATGAAGACTACATTCTTGTGATTTTTCCTTTTAAAATAGAGGATTTTTATTTAATTTTCTTTGTATGAGAGATCTTATGTATTAATGTTCTTCAGTATCCTGATTAACGTGGCTTTCTTTTTTCTCCTCTTAGAATCTTTTATTGATGTTGATGCAGATTTCCATGCAAGAGTACCTGTGGTGGTGTGCAAAGAAAAACAAAGGTCTTAGCGAATTTCTGTATTTTTCTAGTGTATAGCAATGTAAATCATACAGCCCCCACGCCTGCCTTTGTATGGGCAAATCATCTTATCTAACATTCTGTTCACATGGCAGCTAATTGCATGCCTTCGGGGTGCCCTCAAACAGGCAGCAAAGGAAGTAGGATGCTCCTTGTATTTGACCAGCAACTGGGTGGGTGGGCAGACTGGGAATGCTCCCTTGTGAACAGGAGGGCAGGAAACCCAGTCCCGGGCTAGGGTTTTATCTCTCCCATCATGCACAGACACCAGAGAAACTGTAAGTGCTGTAGGATACTTTGGGAGGGGGGAAGAATGAGAGAATTCTGTGGTTCCCCTGGCTGGGTTTTCCAGCCCCCAATGGTGTTTGGGAAACACTGAAATAGGGTCTCTCAGTCCATTTTTTCTTATATCCCTTCTTAACTGCTTTTTTTCTTAGCTAAAAAGACCAAAACATTACAAGTTTTTGATAAGAGTGTTGCTTCAGCCCCTTGATCATCTTAGTTTTAGTTTATCTAGCCTTTTCCCAATGTTAAATTGTTCAAAATCAAACAAACAAAATACACTTCCCCCCATATAGTGGAAAAATAAAGCATTGTCTTTGTTTACTCAGAATAGGTTGCTGTGCATTCCTGACATCTAGTACTTGTGTGTATGTTTATGATTGGGATCCAATCCAAACTCTTTAAAATTAGAATGAGCAATTTGTGTTTTGGATGTTTGGGGGGGCCGCACCCCCCCATCAGTCATTGCTAGGATAGTCTGTGGTAAAAGAACATGGGAGTAGTAGCTCCACAACATCTGGGGGATATAAGCTGCCCCTAAAGTACTGTATTAAGGCTGCTCTTTAATCTGTGTTCACTTACCTGGGAATAAATCCCTTCAAACTCAATAGGATTTTGTTCTGAACAAACATATTTAGGATTTAGGTAAAAGTACTGGTAAAAACAGTTTGTGTGATTTTAATAATCAACAAGAAAGTTGTATTCTTTTCTAGCCCTTTACTGAGCATTGCTTACTTAAAACATTTGGTTGTAGTCAGCTGACATTCTTTGCTTTTGGCCTATTTTACAAGTATTTTTAAAAGGACACTGCAAATTGGTTTATGTTTACTGCAGGAAGGGAGTTTTAGATGTAGCATGCCAGTTGAGTTAAGTAAACTACTAAAATGTGATTTAGTGTAATGTTATAAATATTTAAATGTTACAATAACTGTTCTCTTAGAAGTTTTATAATAGTTTAACATTTATTGGGAATGAGGGGGGAGGAAATACAGAGCTGTTATTTTCAGCAGTAGCCAATGCTGTCAGTTTTGTGTAATTCTATTCTTGCTATCCTTTAGGAGAAAATAATTTTAATTTCTGTCCTTATTGTTTTAGTGGCCTTGTTTGCAGAGTAAGTGCAGGGAATGAAAACGCCTGCCTGACATCAAATCACTTGGCTATGCTAGGAAAACTGGAACCTCGTATTGTGTCCCTAGTTATTGCTTTCAGACACTGGGCCAATGTAAGTCTGATTTCAGGAGCAAAGCATGTATATGCATGTTTGCATGTGCAATAAGGTTTTTAATCAGTGTGTATTAAATATCATTGGGCTCCAGCTACCAACCCTGAATGACATATTCACATCCCGCTGTCTAAGGAAGTCACACAGCATCCTGAGAGACTCTTCCCATCCTGCTTATAACTTTTTTGAACTGTTACCATCTGGCAGAAGATATAGAACAATTAAGACTCGGACCACACGTTTTCTCAATAGTTTTTATCCCAGAGCTATAATTGCAATTAATAATGAGCTTAAAGACCACCAGTAGTGAATAATTAGTTGGA